CACACCTTTTTCTTTCCAATCCGGAAATACTCGTCGCACTCACATTTGACACAGGAACGATACCTAGTCCCTATCGTTGCATAAAGCTGACAGGATAGAAAAAACACAAGATTTAACGTTTGGTTTAACGTCGCGTTGCGTTTAATACTTTTATCTCTTTGAACTTTGTACGTATTTTATGTATTCGATTAATACATGAAATTTAACAAATTCTAGAGATACTTTAACTCTCTTATTTCTCTCTTTTTCGTATTTTTTTGATATGGTATATATCTCGGAGAGAAAAAAACATTAAAATTCAAAAATATATTCTCTGCGTTACAATTGTTATTTTCGTTATCAATTACAAAAGTTTAATTTAAAAAAAAATATATATATATAATAATGTGAATAACAGTATAATGCATATAATAATAATAATAATAAAAGGAGTACGTTGTATCATATTTTCTCAATTCGTAAATATTATCTATTCCTGTCTCATCTTTATTTTATAATTAAAAATCTGTATTCCCGTGCAAACATATACTTGCGAAAACAGACATTTTCTTGATCTCTTCTTTCAAAGCGATAAATCCGTTCTATATTCCCTTGCAGTTTCCTAATTCCTATAAATTAATTGCTCTCTAATATCGCTTTTAATTCACACTATTTTGCGTATTGTACAACTTACATTTGCTCTCTTATCATATTTCTACCTTCGTGAGAAGATTTTGTCCGTATTACGCGAAAAAACGTGCGTAGATACGTCGTACTTGTATCGAGAAGCCGCGCGACTGCACCGTGTCGCGTCGCACCGAGTCGCGTCGCACGATCGATCGATCGATCACGATACAGGGATCAGGGCGCGCCTTTTCACGTTCTCTTACGTTACGTGTCACTCGCGCGCGCCCACGCATGCATATACGCACGCACGCACGCATGCACGATAACGAAAAAGAACGGACGCGCGCGGCGGATGGCAAATCGCACCTGAATCGAGCCTACAGGAGAAAGAAACTGTTGTACTCGCGTCCGCGTGTCCAGTTAGTTCGCGGTAGAAGAATGGCTCCCCACCGGATTTCTTCTCCCCGTGCCCCCTCCTCAACGTATGACCTACAATCTGTAAACTCTGACTTAAACCGCTTTGTTTCTATCCCTGCCGATATGTGCGCGATGTGTGCTGCAATGTATGCGTATTTATTTATTTATATAAATATATCAAATAATTTTCGAATTAGGCTCTAATGAATAAATCAAACAAATAATAAAATAATAGCCTTTCAAAGCTAACATAAGCTGTTAACATGTATGTGTAAATATTCTTTATTAAAATAGACAAAATTATATAAATGTTTTGATTCTTTTGAGTATAATAAAAATTTCCTATCTTAAAATTAATATATTCGCGGATAAGACATCGCAATAACATTTATTTACATGCATATATACAAGGTGTATCTTAAAAAGTGTTCACTAATCATGTAGCGCTATATTTCTGATAAAAAATTGAATCGAAAATTCCTCTATTATTTTACAATTTTCGTATTTTTTTTTTTTAATTATTCAATGAGCAAAATGTATAAAATCGGCACGTAAGACAACTTCAAGATATCTTTAAGAACTCTTTAAAAACATTTTTAAGATAAGTATTTTATAAAAATATTGAAAGATATATATTAAAGTTGTCTTAGGCTGGAATCAGATTACGCATTGAAGATTGAGAGATTGAAATTTGATCAATCAAAACAATAGGAGTTAAAATTTCTTCCTCACTCTGAGGAAAGGACTGGTCAAATTTCAATCTTTAATTTTCAATCTTAATCTTCAATGCATGTCTGATTCTGGTTTTATGTCAATTTTATCTGCATATTTGGCAATCTTTAGGAATTAATTATTGTAAAAATTGCTGTATAGCTCACAACTTTTCGATTCAGTTTTTGATCAGGAATAATATATATGATTAGAAGGTGCTTTTTAAGATACACCCTATATACATAACGTGTTTTTGATGTGTGCTGATTTATTGCGAAATCAGCGTTTTCTTTTCTTATCGCTATGGATCTTCTCAAGCAACCTTCTCTAACTAGTTCACATTAGGCATGTTCGTTTTAGCTGCTTTTGTACCGGTACCATCTTTTTTCCTTTTCTCTCCAAGAGAAAAAAGAGGAAGAAAAATGAACCAATGCAAAAGTTCAGCTAAAAAGAACGGGCTTATTTATAATACAATTAATACATTCTTTCGCGGCGAGAAGGATGAAATAGATACACGAAACATATAACGATACTGTAAGAAATAAACTTGTAAAATAATAAATTTATTAAATTACATCGTAAAGAAAACAATAACGTGCTTTTAAAATATTTTCCGTAAGTTTATGTAGATAAATTGCGGAGAGCAAAACGCAAATTGGCTGCCAATCGAGTCATATTGAGTTTCATGAGAACAACGAGATATCGAAGTGGCGCGAACGCCGAACAATCTAGAATCTCGAATCAGGTTCGCCGAGCGGCCACGAGCGGCGCGCGGCGCGCCGCGCGCGGTGGTGTCAGCGTGAGTGAGTGCGCTACGTGCGCTGTGTGTTTGTTTCATTCTCGTTGCAAGCGAAGCTGTCGAAAGCATGACGCAAGAAAGCCAGTAAGTATCCTAGGATTGACATAAATTAGCGTGGCGATTCGCATCGACAGGCTCGATGATGAGCTTCGTGGCGGCGCGTCCGCGTATAGCTACGAATAACTGTCGCGGTTGTATAAATGCCGCCCCGTGCTTTCCGTAGCATCGCCATGTTGGTGAGACGGTTTTATTGATTCTCCAAGTTTCTCGAGATACGACCTAACCGCATGGCGGCAATCTTTCTTTCGAATGAAAATGCGCGATTATTCGCTCACGTTAATCTCCGTCTCGCGTCGACGTGTCCTTTTTGCTCTTCTCTCCTCCGCCTCTTTCGTACGAATCGAAACGATGTCGCACCGGACGACGGGGATCGATGACTCGCTTCTTCGAAATGCTCGTATTTTCATTTTGCAATGATTAACGTGATAAGCGAATCTCTTCGCGTCGCTGCGCCGCATGATATCGTATGTCGCGCATATCATCGCACTGTAACGACTCGAATAAATCACGATGCGTTGCGAGCTAGCATCGAGCTTTTGTCCCTAACCTATAAAGATACAACAGGTCCTTTATGTACATAGAATACGCACTGTACACGTGGGAATTCGTTTATATGGATTTTTCAGGATACTTGATACTCGAAATGGTAAATACGAGAATGTTTCGAGTAGTGTTACTCTAAAAATTATGCGATATTTTATTCGCACTAGTATAATACTGTATATTAGTATAATACTAGTATAATACTACCTGCTCGTTGCAGAACTCTGGTTAGAATTGAGAACCAGAGAAATATCAAAAGAAAAAAGACGAATTTTTTCCGTGATCAAGTCTGAGAATGTCTCAACTCAAATTTCAATTATTTAGATTAATTATAGATTCATACCGAATCTTTTTTTTTACTTTTTTTTTTCAAATTGAGATATTTTTTCACATCTAGTTCTTATTCAGTTAGAATAATTGAATATTTAAAATTTTTCGAGTTTTATCCTGATTACATTCAACAGAAAAAGCAACTTTGCAATTGTGTTCGAAGATCATTTTATATGATTAGTTTAGATCCAATGAAGAAGTACTTAAAACCAAGACCAGTAATATTAAAGAATTTTGCTACAATTGCAAAGCTGTTTCTGCTATATGCAGCCATGATATGTATACATATATAATATTTTTTGTTCCTTCTTCAACTTTTAGGATACCTCCTCCCCCAGTCATGTGGGCTCAAAGAAAAGATATCTTATATGTTACTATCTGCTTAGAAGATTGTAAAGATCCTGTTATTGAAATTGAACCAGAAAAGATATACTTCAAAGGAGAGGGAGGTACAGATAAAAAAATGCATGAAATCACAATTAATCTGTACAAAGAAATTGAGCCCAGCAAAACCATAAAAAATATGAAGGGCAGGACTTTTGAATTGATTCTTGCTAAGAAAGAAGAGGGACCATATTGGCCACGATTAATTAAAGACAAAACAAAGGCTCACTGGTTAAAGAGCGATTTTAACAAATGGAAGGATGAAGACGATACTGACGAAGAAGGTAACCCGCCAGATTTAGAAGAGGTAAGAACGAATGTCACATGTATTTGTAGCCAAAAGATTATCAAGATATTGTCGATAATGAATATATATATATATATATATATATACATATATACTTTTTCCCCGATCTCACAGATGATGCGACAGATGGGTGGTCTAAGTGGCTCGGGCGATAGCAAGCCAAATTTTGACGAGTTGGACGAATTAGGGGACAATGATGCTGATAGCGATGATGAAGATCTTCCCGATTTATATGATTAAAATAATAAAAATAATCACATCGATCAAGTAATTAATTACATTAAAGACAAATGGCAACCTAAGGATAGTGCACGAACGGGCAATATTTCAGTAGGCCTTGCTGTTTGTATCTTCAATTGCAAATTTGTTAAAATGGCCGTGTTGCTAGTAGCAAACGGGGCGCGTAAACTGGACTGAAAAAAAAAAAAGAAAACTAAAGATTCAGTGTGGCAACAATCGATGAACAATCGATGAACAGTAATACAGCTCTCGAAGGTCCTCCGCAGGTCTCTCCCCTCTATTAGCCTCTAGTTCATATACTAAGTTATGGACAAGCTTTTTTAATAATGTACTGTGTAAAGTAACACAAAGAAGATAAGAACAAAAAAGAAATGAAAATAACCAAAATTATGTATGGAATTATTCATTTTAGAAAATCCTGCAAAGTAAATTGGCATCACGAAAATGTTATAAATATGTTGTCTGAGAAAAATATCGATACTTTATTTACTGTCTCTTTGTCGATTAAATCGTTCCGTCTAACACTCCATCCCCATTGATGTATCCCTGTTCTTCGTGTATGTGAATGAGAAGGAAACTCGAGGATGTTAAAAGCAAAATATGTGAAATGTATAGATGTTTATATATTTAAAATATAAATTGTAAACTCTTGTAACGATCACTGGGTGATTGAATTGCATTGCCAGACGATATATAGGTCAAGATGTAGTCACAACTGCTAGGCTATGTCGAGTATCAGATTATTTAACCAACGATACTAGACGCTCCGCGTAAAGCCAAATATCCGGCTGTTATATCCATCGGTAAACTGCGAACCGTTGCAAATTCTTCAGCGGTGGCATAATACAATTTAGTTTGTGGATCCGTGTATCGTGCCTATAAATGAAATGCAATTTGTTTATTTAAATTAGTTTACCGCGCTTTATGAGCTTACGGCATCGAGGAAAAGCTTAATTAAATGTTGACTAGTTGATAAATATTACAGTAACCGTTTTTCTGGATTACTCACCGGTAATCCAGAAATGTCAGAGTATTTTTTTGCAGGTTTGAAGCTCGGCGGTGCGTTAATGGAACTGTCTGAAATTTAAACAAATTTATTTATGCTAAAAACGATACTCTCTCTTTTCTCTGTCTCTCTCTCTCTCTCTCTCTCTCTCTCTCTGTATTTAATACACGTCGCGGAACTATTTTGATCTTAGTCACGTGCAGATTATAAATGATGAAAATGTTTCGTTACGGTTTAAATATTTTCCGACTAATATGTATAAATGCAATGATGAGAGAAAATAAAAATTTTGTCACATTCGATGCATACAATGTTTTATTGTCATTGGCCATGGTAACGAACGTTCTTGAGCCAAGACTTGTTTCAATGATCTCCAAGTGCGTTTCTTCCCAGTGGTGCTAGTCTGTCGAAATTTTTGTTGAAACGAACGATTTTTAAATATGGGCTGCAATTTCTTATTAGCCTCTCGATTATATATTTCTTCGCTTGCCATCTCTCGAGATCTTCTAAAACAGAAGAGCTGTAAATATAATAAACGAGTATACAATTTCTCTCGAATTTTAGAAGATAGGATTTTTATCAACAGAGCTGACTCGGAATAAAAGACTATCATTGGGAAAAAAAAATCTCTTATATTCATAATAAAAACAAAGAGCAGTGAGCCGAATTGTCGATAAATCTATTCTATATAATGAATTCGCTATCAACATCAGAATTATCAGGATATCTATTATTAACACATAAGAATGAAATCCGATCGGAATTATTCCGTTTTCCCCAGAAAACACAAAAGGAATCTAGGGAATAATTGAATAATTCCGATTGGAATCCATTCCGAACACTTGGAAATTATGGATACATAATAAGTGCTCAGAGGTAGCTATTATAAGTTTCAAGCGAGAAGTACATACTTAGAAAAAAGTTGGCACACTTTATCATTCGTTATGAAAATTTAACAGGTTTTACAATGTCAATAAAAATTATATTAACGAACGCTGTATATGCATACGTGGCTCGTAATGAGATATCGCTCCGACATTCTATCGATCATATATATCATAAATATCGTGAGTATATACTTACCTCCTAATAAAACAATCTTGATTTATAAATTATCACTGTTCGCATGATATTGTCAACAGGCTAGTGAGAGGTTAGGAATCTTGAATTAAACTTTAGATTATATACTTTATGGAGGTTCTACAATGAATCTGGTAATAAAAAAAATCTTAGGATCTTAAGTCTGTTTTACGATAGACGCAAGTCGTAAGAAATTGACCAATCACAACTGAATATGAAAAATAATTGACTATGATTGATTAATTTTTAATGGATTATAACTATTATAGAACAGATGTTAAACCTATTCTACAATTGCGTAAGCAGTTGTAAATGGTCGTAGTTGTAACAATTTATCAATCACAGTCGGATATTCTTCTCATATTCAACTAGGATTGGTCAATTTTTACAACTATAATTACGCAATTGTAGATCGGGCTTAAGTCTACAATTGCGTGTGATAAATGGTTGTAGTTGTAAGAATTGATCAATTATAGTCCAATATTCTTTTCATATTCGATTATGAATTTTTACAATTACAAGCATTTATAACTATGCTTACGCAATTGTAGAATAGACTTTATGCCTGTTTTGCAATATGGTCATAAGCTGTAAAGGTATATCCACACAATTTATATAGCTGCATAAACGTATGTATAAAGAGAATTATCCAGTCACATTTCTATCACAAAGATGTACATACATAAAATATGATTGGGTGGAACCACCATGGGTGGGATGTTATTTGTTCACCTTGGTGTACGCGCGAAGGTCAGAGTAGGTCAGATTAGATAGGTTCGAGTAGGTCAGAGAATCGAGTTCGAACTTCGATTTGTGACGAAAAAAAAAATTAGTTGCAGCTCGCACATTGAATAAATATCAGTTGTTACGAGGCGTACAAACGAGACAAACGATGGGACGCAAATTCTTCGTTGGCGGTAACTGGAAGATGAATGGCACAAAGAGCGAGATCGGTAACATCATCGCGTTCCTGAAAACTGGTCCACTCGATCCTAATGCTGGTACGTGGATGCTAGTCACTCTGTACAGAACGTTTCTCGTATTGGAAAAATTAACACCTGTATTATTTATAAAAATTTTATTCAAATTGCAATCGCAAATTATTACATTTACGAGCGCGATAAAATTCAATCGAGCGAATAAAAAAAAACTAATAAAATATATATATAACTATAAAATAAAATAAAAAAGTAAAATGAATATTTAAAATTTCAAAATTTTGTCAAATTACCTTCAGATATTTACATCTAAGAATCTAATAGCGATGTCCTATGATTACATAATGTATCATTTTGTTCTATTTCTTATTTAAATTCTTTAGTCTTCAATCTTTGTATGGAACGTCTGTTTTTAATTAAGAGAATGACATTTTTGTAATTTATAGAGGTTGTAGTTGGCGTTCCAGCGATATATCTTACGTATGTGACTTCCATCGTTCCTAACAATGTTAGTGTCAGTGCACAGAATACGTACAAAGTTGCTAAAGGAGCATTTACTGGTGAAATTAGTCCAGCTATGCTTCTGGATAATGGCATTCCCTGGGTAATTCTTGGCCACTCAGAGCGTCGAAATGTTTTCGGTGAAATGGACGAATTAATTGCAGAGAAAGTTGCACATGCTTTAGAAACTGGATTGAAAGTAAATATAAAAATTATATTTTATTAAATATATATACAATATATATATATTTTTTTTTTCAGAGAATTGATATAAATTATATGTAGAAAAATAATATGCGTATAATGCAACACGATTAATTGTAATAAAAGCAAGACAGAAAAAAATATTTTTTGATTTCCAGGTGATTGCATGTATAGGCGAGAAATTGGAAGAGCGCGAAGCAGGAAAGACCGAAGAAGTAGTTTATAGGCAAACCAAGGCAATAGCAGATAAAATTAAATCTTGGGACAATGTAGTTTTGGCTTATGAACCAGTATGGGCAATTGGTACGGGTAAAACTGCAACGCCACAGCAAGCGCAAGAAGTTCATGAAAAATTACGACAGTGGTTGTCCAAGAACGTTAACCCCAATGTTGCACAAACTTTACGAATTATTTACGGTGGTTCCGTGACAGCAGCCAATGCCAAAGACTTAGCAAAAGAGAAGGATATCGATGGATTTTTAGTTGGTGGCGCGTCACTCAAGCCCGACTTTGTACAAATCGTCAATGCTCGTTGTTGAATATACATGTTGATGAAACAAACATGTTATGAGATTATATCAGATGAAATTTATTCTTACTCGGAGTACGCGCAAGAAGTTGCCTATTCCGTTTGAATATATATAGCTGTTCTGATAAAATAATATCACAAAGGAGAGTTCTATTTTCATTTATCATGTTGAGCTCTTGCAAGGTAGCTATAAATTATAGCTAAAAATTACTCAATGTTGCATTGTTGTCGGACAATTTTACATGATTGATGCTTGTAATTAAATGTTTACTTATAGTGCCACAAATGATGTATCATAAAAAAAAATTAATCGTGTATCTAGCGATTTTTGTAGTATTATTGATATGCGATTATGATTAACATGAACTCGAAAATATCTCAAAAATAACAAATAAATATATTAGAAGGAAAAAACTTGTCATTTTATATTTATGAAAAATTATTTAATTAAACCCCTTACAATAACGTTCTTTGGTACTTCAATATTCAGTTTAGTCTTCACATGATCTTGTTTTGCTCTCGCACATGCGATGTCTGTAATGGCTTTGAAAGATCGAGGTTCCCAAATCGCCAAGTCAGTCAGTGATTTTCGATTTAATAGAATGTTACATCTTGCTAATCCTTCCTTTAGGATTGAAAAATTTATACCATGTTCACTCGTAGCAGCTCCTAATCTTTGCTCCCGCAACTGAAAGCAGAAGAGGAGCACAAAATTTTAGAAAAATGAATTCTATATATATATATATATATATATATATATATACATACATATATATATACAATTTTTATTCTTAAGTGTTTTGATCAATTTTATAATACCTCTTTCATGTCTATTTTTTTCAATTTTCTGCCTATAGTGCTGAATGTAAGAGCTCGATGTACGCCTTTGATAGCTATACTGTAACAATTCCTTCTTCTACCAAAAAAATGCTAAAAACATTAAAAGTTTTTCCATATATTTTTTTTGACAATGTTCTGATTAAGAGCATTTAGAAGTAACTATCGTGACAAATCACTTACTGCGGCAAGTTTGAATATTTTCCGTTTTCGCCAAAATTCATCAGGTCCACGAGCTCTCGTTAAAAGATTCAACGACAAAAAAACCATATTTTTATTGCAAATTAATTAAAACTTGTAATTTCTTTCTCTTATAACCTAAAATATATGTCGCACTTGATCGCACTTGAAGAGACTAGAGACTAGAGGTCCCCATACTTTTTTCTATCGATCCTTAAGGAGCATTTATATGATTGGTCATAACCGTATAATCTGTAAGAATTGATCATAGTCGAGTATTCCGTTCTCATTTGACTGTAAGAGAGCAATATTTAACTGTGATTGGTCAATTCTTACAGATTATGGCATACGATTATGGCCAGAATAAATAAATGCTCCTTTAGCTAAAATTTATTCTGCTTACTCTAGAATCCCTTAGAAACCCCTAATCAAACCCTGACGATAATATTAAAACTCAATTTTTAATAAAAATATATTATTGAAATTGTCAAATCTGGGCAAATAATTTTCGTTCATACAAAAAAAAATTTCGAGATTCCAACGGTAATTGAAGAACGCTAATATTATCGACAATTGATAATTTGCGATCATAATAATGGCCGTAGTCCGATTTATGCTGCACGCTCACAAGCATCGTTTGTCTTCGTTTAACATTTGACAAACAACAAAGATGAAATGATTTTTAAGTGTGAGAGCGTGAATCCAACCGCGGCCAATAAATATTTGTATATATTGTTAATTTAAATTTATGATTTTTTATCATAAAATACTCCATAAATAAATATGCATACTTATAATGCTATATCTTATATATATTGCCGCAAAATTATAATTGTTTTTTTTGCAGTTATTATCTCTATTGATAATCAATCGGATAACATTAAAATCACTCGGACGATAACATTAAAATCACAGTTTTAAATAAAAATCGATTATACATATATTGAGTTTTAAACATTTATATATACATATCTATGAAACTAATAAATCATAAAATTAGTACTTTATTATCAATTTCTTACTTTTAATCACTTAAATTTTAAGTGTAACAGTAATGCGAACTTACATAAGACTGGCCGTCTTTAATCTCAGTATCTCATAGATGGTATCTGTAAAATAGAAACACGTAGACATTTTCAACGAATGGAAATTAAATTATAAACGTTTTATAAACGTAAAGAATCACTTGTGCTATCGCTTCAATAATTAATTAACTCAACTGTATTTTCCTAATGTAATGCTCTTAGATAGAATGACAAGTCGAAATATTGTACATTTGTACATATTGTATACATACGTTCGATCGTGTCCAGTTGGCCTCATAAACGTTAGATTTATTAGGCCTTTCTTAAAGACAAAGGTACAATTGGAGATCTTACGATAAATAAAATGCTAAACACAGACGATTAATAACTTTATTAATCGCGTTGTCAATATGGCACCAAAATGAAATATGACTTTGATTGGGCATCTCCTAGGCATTGAACGATAAAGATGTCACTGAATTATTCGCTACACGATTTAATCTTAATATCACAATCTTTACATCCGACACTTTTGAACTGACTCTGTCAAATGCTTTGTGTCCCATTCACGCTGCTAGATTAGCTACATTACATATGTGTCTCGCACGCTTTTCATTCTTTAAGCTTTTAGTCATCTCCATCAGAGAAACTTTGTAACTGACACAGTCAGTGAGATACAAACAACAAAATATGCGACACAATTAACAAAATCACGATGGTTTGCAGGATGGAAATCTTTTAATACTAATGCATGAAATTGGCTTACGCCATCTCCGTTTGTTTTGACTGTTTGTATTGCATTTGGTGTGATGACTGTTACACGTTGTTTTTCGATCCTCGCTAATGCGATCCAGTTCTTGAAGTCTTCGCTCTTCTAAAAAAAAAAGAAATTTTTATGAAATTTTCTATGTGTTTC